CCCCTTCTCACGTGCCAGCCTGCCAGGCGCCGCCAGGCGCTCTCAGAGATCCCTCCAGGAGCCCACTGGGCCGGCTTTTCGGGCCTCCTGCGGCTCTCCTGGGCTCATTTTCACTCTCTTTCAAGCCACTTTGAGCTGTTTCAAATGCTCGCAATTCCCGGGCATGCTCTCCACGACCGTCCTGACAGCCTCTCGGACCCATCCTGGGCCATCTGACCGCCTTCTTGGCACCGTATTTCGCCCATCCGGCGCGCCTCCTCAGAGCCTCCAGGGGCTCTTCCAGGAACCGCAAACAAACCCGGACTACTTTTTTCCCTTCCTGTTTTCACCGTTCACCCCAAGTCGCAGCACTTGACCAATTCCGGCTCTTTTTTGGGCCCCTCCAGGGGTCCCCCTGGGACGAACCCGACAATTTTTGTTGAGCTTCTCCAGCCTCTCTGCAGCCGTCCCAGTCTCAGGGTCATGTAAAAGACACTCCTCGGCGCGCTGTCTGGGACGAACCCGACGGTTTTTTACTCGGTTGTTTGCACTCTCTGCGGCCATCCTGGCCCCAGGGTCCCAGGGTCATACGACACAGAGCTCGCTACTTTCAGTTCCTCCAGCCTCTCTGCGGCCGTCCTGGGCTCAGGGTCATACGACAGAGAGCTCGCTGAAGAGCCCAATGTCCTCTCCATAGAGCCCCACGAGGCCTCCAAGCAGAAGCACCAGCACCAGCACCAGAACATCTCCTATTCACGCGCGCGGAGCGGCCGCCGCTCCCACAGAGTCTCCAGGATCCAAAAATGGTGGGGCGGCGTTGCCTGCCCCCTCAGGGGCGTTCAATTAAATAATCTGTTGGAGGTCCGCGCGAATTTCTGATGTCGACGCTGACCCGCCTCCCCCCGCACCTGTCTTGGTTCTCGATATCTGGGAATCCCGTTCGTTCCAACTCCGTACAAGAAGTCAGCCCCAGGACATGGGACGGATGGCGAACTGCGCCAGACCCTCGCCCACCTCTCCATTAACTTCCGACGGTGTGAGGCCTCCGATGATGCGAAAGCCCCTCCTCCGCCGCCACGATTAGCCTCGATCGGTTCTCCAGGCTTGGTCGATCACATGGCATGTGGCCTTCGGTGACAAGGTTGTCTTTCTCCCCCGTATCCTCATCTTCCCCTTCCTGAGACCAGATCCAGTCTGTCATATATCAATCTCACCGACCAAGGACTTCCTGTTGAGTCGTTGCCGCCACCTTTACAACGCCTCTCACGCAAGCACGGAGATTTTCTGACTTCGAGTCCTGGTGGTCGGGTCCTGGCGAGGGAAGCGCCAGACGGAAAAAGACGCCACGTGAAGACGTATGCAATGACACGCCGCTGAGATGCTCAGCCAAGCCACTGAATTGCCGCCTCAATGGCTTCACTCGCACCCGCTGCTTCCCCCGCCACCTCGGCACTCCAACGACGGGGCCCTGAGACACGGGGCCGCATGGCGAGGAAGCCTGGGACAAGATAAATCCGACCTGCAAGCCCCCTTCCTTGCCTTGGGGCCCCACCCCTCAGGGCACCATGCTCGGACCCTCGACCCATGGCTCCTCCCTCCCCTTGCGCCTCCAACCGACCAGTCCCAGGCCTCGGCGGGCTCACATCAGGTCGCCGACCTCTACTCCCACTGCTGTGCTGCTGGCCGGGGCCGCCGCATCCGCAGTCAGCTCCGCCGCCGCAACTTCTGCGCTCTCGGCGGGCGCCGACTCCGTGGGCGCGGCGCTGCCGGCCGGGGCCGCCGCCTCCGCCTCCGCGGCCTCGGCGCCCAGCTCCGCCGCCGCCGCCGCGTCGGGCGGCGGCCTGTCGGCGGGAACAGGGGCCTCGGCGTCCGCGGCGCCGACGGCTGGCTCCGCCGCCTCGGGCGGCGGCATCCCGGCGGGGGCGGGCGCGACACTCTGCGCCTGCGCGGGGCCGGGCGCCCGCCGCAGCGCCTCGAGCGCAGCGGCCAGCTGGGCGGCCTTCCGCTCGGCCGCCTCGGCGCGCCGTAGGGAGCCTCTGGCGTCCTCTTCGGCGGCCGCCCTGGCCGCGGCCTCGGCCGCGGCCGCCTCGGAGGCCCGCTGGCCTTCGAGACGTGCCGCGGCCAGCGCCGCCTCAAGCCGGGCGACCCGGTCCTGGAGAGCCACCGCCTCACCATCCGCGGCGGCCTCCACCGGGCCCGCGCCCGCGGCCTCCGCGTCCCGTAGCCTGCCCTCCAGCTCCGCGACCTTGTCCCGCAGCTCCTGCGTCTTCGCCGCCAGGAACTGCCTGGCCTTCGCCTTCAGCTGCTCCTTCTCCTGCTCCAGGGCCTTCACCTGCTGCTCCAGCTGCGCCACCCGCTGCGGCGATGCGCTCGAGGCGTCGGCGCCGCCGCCGCCGCTCCAGAGGTCGACACGGCCCCAATCGCGGGACTGGCGCGCCTGCCCCGTGCCCTCGCCGGGCCCTGCCCTGGCGATGCCCGCCTCCACGGCCTGGCGCCCGGCGGAGATGATCCCCCGCAGGACGTCCTGCGCCGCGGCGGCCACGGGCGCGGGCGCCGGCACGGCGGGGCTGCCCTTGTCGGCTGGGCCAGGGCTGGCCGCTGCGTCTGTAGGCCTCTCGCCCTGCGACGCCGCGCGCACGGGGGAGCCGGCGAGAAAGAGCGGCAAGGGCTGCGGCGGCGGGTTGGGCGTAGGCTCCGGAGCGGGCGGGGGCGGCAGCTGGGGGATTGGTGCTGCCTCGCCGGCCCGGAGGCGCTTGGCGAGGGTGATCAGCGTAGCCACGTTCTCCACGGGGGGGAACTTCATCAATCGCTGCAGGCACTCGGACTCGTCCATGGAGAGCAGCTGCATCCGCAGGAACTCGATCATGGCCACCGCAAAAAAATCGACCAGTGGCAGGGCGCGGGAGGCGGCCTCGGCCGCCTGCACGCCCTCCCTGTCGACAGCGTCTGCCGCGGCGTAGGGTATGAAGGCGGCGTCTCGCGCCTCCACGGAACCCGCGTCGGCAAAAATCATAGTCCACAGTGCCACCGTGTCGGCGACGTGGAACTCGCGGCAAAAAAGTAGCCGAATCCAGCGGAGCAGGAAGATCTGCGGCTCGACGCCCTTCTCTACCAGGTAGGCATGCAGCTGCACATCCACCTGCTTGAGCACATTGTGGAAAATGTGTTTGCAGCGCGCCAAGACAGCGCTGATGGGCTGCCGGGCGGGCCCTTGGCGAACCCGGGCCATGCCAGGCATGGGTCCGACGTCGACCGCCTTCGCCTTGGCCGCGGGCTTGGCCCTGACGATGGCGAACATCTCCCGCAAGCCCCCGCGCTCCATGATCTCCCCGAACAGCGCGTACGTGTCGGCCTCGTTGTGCACCCTGCCACACAGCCGGGCGCCCAGCCCGCCCATGCCGGCGTGCTCCCCATGGCGCACTACGTAGAAGCAAAGGCCCGCGAGCTCGTTCATGCCCTGCCGGTAGCTCTCCGACGCGTCGGCCGCGGGGTTGCACGCCTTGCACCAGTGGTAGAGAACCTGTTGTATGCACTTGCGGCTGGCGTCGAGGTGGAAAAACTCGATTTCTGGAAACGTGCGCTCCACGTCCTTCCAGATCTCCTCCAGGAGCTCCTCGTTGGCCTTTCGCTTCAGGAACGGGTTGTCCGCGTGGCGCGACAGCGGGTTGCAAATCGTGGGGTCGGCGGCCTTCACGTCCTCCTCGAGCCGGTGCCGCTCCTTGGCAAGGCTTCGGGTTGCGCGCACCAGACAGCCCCCATTTGGGCGGTCTCAACTCCCTGGCGGCGCTCGGCGCCCTGAATCGGGGTGCTGAATCGCCCCTGGCTGCCCTGCGGGGCTTGTGGAGACCAGCGTGGACTACATCTGGGGGCTGTCTGTGCGCAAACCTTTTGCCTTGACTTTTTGCAATGCGGGGTCCCTAAAAGTCCCGACTCCTTCCCAGGGACTGTTTCCTCGTCGCAGATAGCTGTTTGTTTCATGGCCCTTCTTTGGTCGGGTACTCGTTTTGGATCGAGCTCTGCTGCTTCTCCTCCTTTCCTCTCCTCTCTTCTCCCCTCTCCTCCTCTCCTCCCGCCTCCTCCCCGCTGCCGCCTCTGCCTCCTCGGTGCCTTCGCTGCCTCATCTCTTCCTCTTGGTGCTGACAACTGCGCTCGTTACTTTTGCGCTATCCTGTGAGGTTCCGCGGAGAGCGGTCCTACGCGAGCCAAGCTCGACCTCGCCTCTCCGAGCGATTTCGTGAACTCATTCGTGAGCTCTTGGGAGGTCCCGCGGAGTGCAGCCTTACGCGGGCCGAACTAGACCTCGCCAGCCTGGGTGCTGCAAGCTGCACAGCTGTCGCCACTTTCCTAAGCGCCTGGGAAGCTCCGCAGAGGCTGGTCTTATGCGGGCTAATATAAGCCCTGTGTGAGCTCCTAATAGGTCCCGCGACGTGCGGTCTTCCGCGGACCAAATTAAACCTCGCCTCTATGGATGCTGCCATCTGCGCAACTGTCGCCGCATTGTGAGCTCCTGGGCGGTGCAGCGGAGTACGTTCTTACGCTGACCAAGCTAGACCTCGCCTCCCTCGGTGCTGTCAGGCGCGAAACTGCCGCCACTCTCGCGATCTCCTGGGACCTGGGAGGTGCAGCGGAGTACGGTCCTACCCAGACCCAACGCAGGCCTCGCCTTCCTGGGTGGCACCAACTGCGTAATTGACGCCACTTTCGTGATCATGTGGGGGGTCCAACGGTATATGGTTCTATTCATGCCCACACGAGACCTCGCCTCGCTGGGTGGTGCCAACCGCCGCCTCCTCCCTTTCCTCCTCCCTTTCCTCCTCCCTTTCCTCCTCCCTTTCCTCCTCCCTTTCCTCCTCCTCCTTCCCCCCTCCTCCTCCCTGAACGCGCTGTCTCCTCCTCCTCCTGGTCCTCCTCCTTCTCCTCCTCTTCGTCGACGCCGTCCCTCTGCCTTTTCCTTCTTCCTTGATTCGTGTCGCCTCATCAGATCCACATTGGACGTGAGATGAATATGTTTGCTTTCACATGGGATGCAGTCTATAGCACGCCCTTTCACATGTCTATTCGACTTCGACGGGCCCTTTGACAATGCCACACGTTGCAAATGAGTTGGGCAAATTCCTGTGATCTCACGGCCCTCTGGGGTCCGCAACAACCTCCACAGACCGAAGTCGCTTGGAAACCGCTTGTCCGTTCTAAAACAATGACTCGGGACGTTTAGGACACCAAGCCTTGCTAACGCTTTTCTCCGACGCGCCAGAAGTGGCAGCCAGCGGTGGTAAACTATCGAGTTCTCTGCGTATAGTATTTGTGCGAACATCTGTAAATGGCAAGACTCCCAGTAAGCGTCGGACGTAGCCGACAGCTGAGCTGTAGCTGCAGGTGGCGCCAGCGAGAACTAGAAAGGAACGCCAGGAGAGAAGAGGCACGGAGCCCAGAACCCCGACGCCGTGATTGTTTCACAACGTGGACCCTCAGAAGTCTGGACCCCCTCCCTGGGACCGGTTTTTCATCCCGGGCCGCTTTTTGACGGTCCCGACGCCCAGTGGTAGAGGCCGAAAACGGCCAAAAGACTTCCGTCGCTACTTTCACAATTGGAAGACGTGGGGGAGGACCAAGCCTTGCCAACGCTCCTTCAGGGCCGCGTAAGCATCTCGGTGGGCCGTCAGCTCCTCCGCCCACCGCTCCGGCTCGGGGCCCGACACGAGGCCGAGCAGCTTCACCCAGAGCAGCCGGCGCAGGGGCTGCGCCGCGGTCTCTGGCAATGCATTCACTAGACCCGCCGACTCGAAGGTGCCGTCCCGGAGATGCGCCTCCAAGGAGGGGGATGACGATGGCGGTGATTGCGCTGCTGCTGAGGAGAAGGAGGAGGAGGAGGAGGAGGAGGAGGAGGAGGAGAAGGAGGAGGAGGAGGAGGAGGAGGAGAAGGAGATAGAGGAGGAGAAGGAGGAGGAGGAGGAGGAGAACGAGGACGTGAGGCAGGGGAGGTGAAGAAGCAGGAGGAGCAGCACGAGCAGGATCAGCAGGAGAAGGAAGGAGGAACACCTCCAACGCCCCGTCGCCCAGCCCCGCAGGCTCGCCGACGTCCCCGCCGCTAGCCATGGCGCGACGGCGTCGGGGCCGGAACGGCCACCCTGAGCTCAGAGTGGCTGCGAAGGAGGCGGATGAGGAGCAATGTGATGATCGGGGATGATGATGGTGATGATTGACGGGGCGCAACGCTCTGCACTTCGGCGAACCCTGGGGCCAATGTGGAGAATGGGGCTGTCTCTGCGAAAGAGGTGGGAGAGGAGGATGATTAGCAGTGTAGGGGAGAACGCGTTTCGTGGGCGCTTGCCTTGAAATCCGCCGACCCTGTGTCGGCGTGTGTGAGGGGCTTGTCCGTTGCCATCGTTCGTTCGTCGTCGTCTCCGTCGTCTCCTGTCCCTGCGCCCACACCCTTTCCCCGGGCCAATCGTCTCCTGTCCCTGCGCTCCCCCTTTCCCTAGGCCCGTCTCTCCTCCTCCTCCCCTTTCCCCCTCTTCCCTGGGCCCGTCGCCGCCCCCCCCCCCCCGCTTTTGCACGCCTCCCCCTCAAGAGCAACGTTGTCACTGAGTCGAAGGGAAGACCCTTGACTTTGATCCATTCCCTGCCGGGGGGGGGGGGGGGTCCTGCGTCAGATGCGACTCCCCACCTGGGGGTCCCGGGGGGGGTCCCGGGGGGGGGTCCCGCGTCAGATACGACTCCCACCCTGTGGGTCCCGGGGCCCACACAACACCTCAGACGGGCCAAAAGCCGAGGCATTCTACCACGCCCTCTCCTCCCTCCCCCTCCTCCCTCAGCGCCGATCGAAGAGTCCGCGCGGAGCTCCGACAGTTTGCTCGTATGCAGTTGTTTCTTCTTCTGTCACATTTTGGCTCAAGCGTTCGCGTGCTTGGTGCGAAGGCCCGCCGTTGCTCCCGCGATGGCCGCCGCGCGTCGAGCGAGAGGGGCTTCCGCCCCCGCGCTGGCCGCTGCCCTGGTCGAGGCGGCGGTGCGCGGGGCGGTCTCCGCGAAGGCGCCGAGGAGGACGGTCGCGGCGGTGGCGCGCTCCGCGGTGTCGGCGGCTCTCTTCGAGCCGCTTGCGCCGCCCGCCGCCCGTGACCCTCCAGTCGGTGCACCGAGAGATCAAGATCTTCCTGCTGAAGGCCCTCCCGTGGCTGGTGCGGCGAAGCGGGCGCGGCGGCAGCGTCGCCGCCGTGCGCGTGCAGCGCGCAGGCAGCAAGATCGAGCCGATGGAGCTGGAGAGGCCGTTGGCGCTGGGGGCGCTCTGGAGCCCGCGGCGATGGCGGTTGACGACGGCATCGACGACGAGTGGGCGGACGGCCTTCGCAGAGCAGGCGGTGGCCTGGCGGCGTCGGCGGTGGCTTCGCCTGCTCGTGTGGTAGAGGATGCGGCTGCTGGAGCCGACGGGCGCGCTCTGGCGCAGCAGTCGGCGGAGGCGGGCGCCCCTCCCGTGGCAGTGGTGGCGGCGGCGGCGACGCTGGCTCCGGGTGCTGGAGGCTCGGCGGCCGCTGCCGTGGCGTGCGGCCCTCGGCCGGCTGCGGCCGGCGGTGCCGCGTCTGCTGGTACCCTCGTGTTCGACGCGGTGGGCGACGAGCGGAGGCGGGCCTTGCGGGCGCGGGCGGACGCGATCATCAACGGCCACGGTGGGGGAGGGTAGCGGCCTCCCCCTGTATATAGGTCCGCTCTAGCTTCAGGCATCGTCGTGCTGGTCTTCGTGGTGTCTTGTAGCTATGCGGCGTCTCTGGCACCTCCCTCCGTTGCCAGTGATGGTGCCTGCAAAGACAGGCTTGTGGGGGCGAAGCGTGGATGTCAAACAAAAATTCCCCCTCCTCCATCCATCCTCAACTCTCCTCTTCCCTCCGTCCCCCTCCAGAACCGAACCGGCCTTCTGGACGCTCGGCCACGGGACACCCTAGGACCCAGAATTCCGAGGTCCCCGGGACCCTCCAGGACCCAGCCCCGAGGACCTCCTCCCAGGACCCAGCACCAAGAACCAGTCCCCCAACAGTCCAGGACTCCCAGGCCCCAGGCACCAGGACCACTCCTGCACCATGCGGCCCTGCTCGCCTCGTCCTGCTCCTATTCACTTCCCCCCTCACCTCCTCCTCCTCCTCCTCCTCCTCCTCCTCTTCCTCCTCCTCCTCTTCCTCCTCCTCATCTTTCTCCTCCTCCTCTTCTTCTTCTTCTTCCTTATCCTCCTCCTCCTCCTCCTCCTCCTCCTCCTCCTCTTCCTCCTCCTCCTCCTCCTCCTCCTCCTCCTCCTCCTCCTCCTCCTCCCTCCTGCTCCCTGACGTCCTCCGCCTCTTGCTCCTCAACGTCCTTGTCCTGCTCGTCGTCTCCGTCTGCAGGGTCGGCGGCACCAGCCGTAAGGCCTTCGCAATACTTGGACACGTGAAAACCATGTGGGGGCGGGGCCAACCATTACGCTACCGAGGAACCCCACATACTTAGATGATGGCTGGAGTGATGATAGCTGAAGTGAAGCATGTGAAAATGATGTTGGTGGCCGTTGCCCCGCCGATACCATTGGTGACGCCAGTCAACGCATAGAGACCGCAACCCCTGCGCGCACCCTCCAGCGTCGAGAGATCGCTTCGCCCGCCGTGCCCTGCGCGCCTGCAACGCACAGGGACCACCGCCCCTATGCACCGCCCTTGGTGCAAGGAAAGTGCTACGCCTGCCGTGCCCCGCGAGCCTGCCCCCAACGCGCCCTCCGCGGTGTCGAGAAGGTGCCACGCCTGCCGTGCCCTGCGCGCCTGCAACGCATAGAGACCGAACCCCGGGTGCACCCCCTCTGGTGTCGAGAGAGTGCCACGCCTGCTAGGCCCTGCGACATTGGCGCGTCTAGAGACCGCGCTGAGGGACCACCCCGTGCGCACCCCTTCTGGTGTCGAGACAGTGCCACGCCTGCTAGACCCTGCGACATTGGCGCGTATAGAGACCGCGCTGAGACACCACCCCCTGCGCACCCCCTACGGTGTCGAGAAAATGCCACGCCTGCTAGACCCTGCGACATTGGGGCGTATAGACACCGGGGTGAGGGACCACCCCCTGCGCCCCCCTACGAGGCTGAGAAAGTGCCACACCTGCCACGCCCTGCGCCATGCCCCGCATAGACGCCGCGCTCGGAGACCGCCCCCTGCGCACCCCCTACGAGGTCGAGAAAGTGCCACACCTGCCAGCCTGCATCAGCCTCAGCCTCAGCCTCAGTCTGCCTCAGCCTCAGCCTGCTGCGCTCCCGCATACTCCCGCGGCCTCAGCATGCCTCAGCCTCAGCCTGCATCAGCCTCAGCCTCAGCCTCAGCCTGCCTCAGCCTCAGCCTGCTGCGCTCCCGCATACTCCTGCGGCCTCAGCCTGCCTCGGCCCCAGCCTGCATCAGCCTCAGCCTCAGCCTCAGCCTGCCTCAGCCTCAGCCTGCTGCGCTCTCGCATACTCCTGCGGCCTCAGCCTCAGCCTTCAGCCTCAGCCTCAGCCTGCCTCAGCCTCAGCCTCAGTCTGCCTTCAGCCTCGGCCTCAGCCTGCCTCAGCCTCAGCCTGAGCCTCAGCCTGCCTGAGCATCAGCCGGCTTCAGCGTCTGCCTCAGCCTGCCTCAGCGTCAGCCTCAGCCTCAGCGCCTCAGCCTCCGGGCATCCAAAATGTGGCCCGGGAGTGGAGTTCTGGGAACTCGAAGACCACGAAGTGGCCTACGGTTGGCTCCGGGCACCCAAAATGTGGCCCGGGAATGGAGTTCTGGAAACTCGAAGACCACGAAGTGGCCTACAGTTGGCTCCTGGCATCCAAAATGTGGCCCGGGAATGGAGTTCTGGGAACTCGAAGAGCACGAAGTGGCCTACAGTTGGCTCCGGGCATCCAAAATGTACGCCGGGAATGGAGTTCTGGGAAGTCGAAGAGCACGAAATGGCCTACAGTTGGCTCGGGGCATCCAAAATGTACGCCGGGAGTGGAGTTCTAGCAGCGCCAAGAGCGATTTTGCGAGGATGTCCAAAGCGATTTGGGCTTCGGCGGCAGCCGATCCGGGTCCCGCCCCGACCCCCCTGTGGAGTCATCTGCTGCTCTCTTTTGAGACCGCTAGAAACCTATCAGCAAAAGCTGTTAGGTAAAAATCGTTGACGAGTCTTGGGTTTACACTTGTCCTCCTCCTCCTCCTCCTCCTCCTCCTCCTCCTCCTTCTCTTCCATCCTCCTCCGACACCCTCCCTGCTCCTCCTCCTCCTCCTCCTCCTCCTCCTCCTCCTCCTCCTCCTCCTCCCTCCTCCCCGTGCCTCGACCTCAACTCTCCACCTCCTCCTCGTCCACCTCGCCCTCTTCACCCGTGCAAGCACCCCTGGCGGCACCCCCCTTGGGGTGCTGAAGCCAGCGCCTCGCTGGAGACATGATCACAATCTGCCCCGAACGCAGACAAGCCCAAGCCACCAAAAAGGCCAACCGCCTGATACATTCCAACAATATGAGCGCGAATGGGCGAGTGAAACCACCCCTGGCGGCGCCCCCTTGAGATGTTGAAGTCAGCAACTCGCCTGAGACATCCTTATCATCTGCCGCCTGAGGCATCCCCACAATCTCAGCGCGAACGGGAGAATGAAACCACTCCGGGCTGCCCCCCCTAGGAGTGATTGAACCAACAACTTGCCTGAGACATCCTTGCAGTCTGCTCCGAACGCATATCAGTCCAAGCCACCAAAGAGGCACACCGCCTGAGGGATCCCCATACTCTCAGCGCGAACGGGAGAATGAGGCCACTCCGGGCGGCTCCCCCTAGTGGTGATGGAACAACAACTTGCCTGAGACATCCTTGCAATCTGCTCCAGACTCAGGCAAGTCCAAGCCACCGAGCAGGCGAACTGCCTGAGGGCTCCCAACAATCTGAGCGCGAACGGGCGAGTGAAACTACCTATGCAGGCTCCCCCTTGGGGTGCGGAAGCCAGCAAGTAAGTCGCCTGAGACATCCTAGCATCTATGCAATCTGCTCCGAATGCAGACCAGTCAGTGGGTCTGTGTCTGACTGGATATGAGTATGATTGTCTGAGTGTGTGAGTCAGAATATAAATCAATCAGAGTGTCAGTGGGTCTGAGTGTGAGTGAGTCTCGGTGAGCAAGTGTGCAAGTGAATGTGATGAATGAGTGAGTCTGAGTATGAGTGAGTCTGGAGGCGAGTGAATCGTAGTATGAGTGAGTCTGAGTGAGGCAGAGGAGTGCGGTGGTGAGTGAGGTGTGAGTCGGAGGCGTCGAATTAACAATAAGAGCATCATCTTAGGATCTGGAGAAACAGCAGCACATGGCGCATCATAGGGCGCCAGCCATAGCGAGCCACCCATACAGGACCAGGGCGAGAATGAGAAATCGCAGAAACTAGGGCATCATAGAGCACGGAGGCCGCCAGAAGCCTCTGGAGGCTCCAGACCCAGAGCCCCTCGCGTCGTGAAACAATCACGACGGACAAATAATATGTGTTTCGGACTCTGGGGGCTCTTGCCGCGGGCCCTGGGATCGTAACAACAACGGCTCGGAATAAGAAGAAGGCCCCAGGAAGGGGTCGAGGCATCTAGGAGTCCACGCTTGGTAAGAAATAGCGACGCTGGGGGCTGGGGGTATGGGAAGAGGACAAACAAACGCTCAGAAGTCTTGATCCTCGAACCTCGATCCTCCCACATTCCCCCCGCGACGTCCGCAGGCTTGACCTTGAAAGGGGCCGCCAACATGGGGCCGGCGTAGACGGGGTCGGAGGACCGCGCCGCATAACCGAGGCATCGGTGATACATCGGCGACGTCGGGGTGGAGAAAATCTGGTTCCAGACTGCGCCGCATCGCTGGTACATGGGCGATGCAACGCGATCCTCAAGGCCCCTTACATATGAATTTCGATACGCCAGGAATTTGCCGTGACCAAGAACACTGCAGCCGTGTTTCGAAATATCCTCCATGATGCGTCTTCCCCAGCTTGAATCTGCAACAGCCCTGGCATGCAGTGTGCTGGTTTCTGGGGCTCTGGGACCCTGCGACCCCATCTACTCTGGCCCCATCTGGGCGGCCTGGACTGCTGTCCCAACCCCCCGCCCTGTCCCAACGACGTGCCGATCGTTCGCTGTGACGGAGCGAAAGAAGTATCGACCGAGCGAAACGATAGACCTCAACGTATGTACGTTCGCGGAGTCGACTGCGAAGGAAGAGACTGCGTGCATAGACTTCGTCCGCCGAAGTTCGGCAAACAAACCGCGAAGCTATCTTGTGTAGATCTCTCTTGTGAGGGGGGACGAAAACGAGGGACTGGCTCAGGGGGGGAACATTGACGTGTAATCGGCGAGGCACCGCCGATTGATCGGCGATACGCCCCCGATAGCGAAGCCGCCCATTCCTGGGCGGCGTGGGGGTCCAAGCCCCGATTGGCGATGACTGGGCGATGCCACCACCCCCTGAGCCTCGGGGCCCCTCACGTGTGAAAGTCAAGCTGCCAAGCTCCATCGTGGTGCCATCCTTCGGAGAGTCGCTCGGGTGCGAGAGGCAGCCACCTGCGAGATCGTCCACTCGCCTGGAGTCGAGCTCCACCGTGACATCGCACTCTCTGCGAGAGCCACCCCTTGGGCCAATCCCCCGCTGTCGTTGCCCCTGACGGCGCCCCGCGCCCCGAGGGCAGCGGCCGAGAAGGCCGTCATGAGAAGCCGGTCCTGGGAAGGGGTCCAGGGCTCCGCGGGTCCACGTTATGAGCATAATCGCGACGTCGGGGGTCTGGGCCCAAGTGAAGAGAAGCTGCAGAACCGTGGGGAAGCATGGCCAAAGCCCTCGATCCCATCACGACCAAAGCCCGTGACCGAGCCAGATTGACCTGCGATGGCCCGGGGCCCTGGAAGCGGACGCGAGCGCGGGGTGTCCCCGTCGCACGATCAAGCCGCATCGATCCGCGAGGGACCACTAGCGGGCGAGGGCTCTCACTGAAACAAGCTGCCACGCCCGAGAGTCAGGGCTCGGCGGCCTTCAGCGGTCGCCGGCGGCCTTCGGCTGCCGTCAGCTCTCGAAGGCGCCCGTTGGCCGTCGGCGGCGCCCGTCGGCCCGCGGACTTCGGCGGCCGTCGGCCGTCCGTCTGCGGCGGTCGGCGGGCTTCGGCGGCGCGGCGCTTTTCTTTCAGTCTGGGCCGCTGTTAACCACCACCGCGCCGGCGCTGGCGTCGCCTACCTCTGGCTCGGCGGCGAGCCTGGCGCCGGGCATGACGCACTCCTTGCCGCGGAGGCGCGCCGCAGCAGGAGCGTCGTCGCCGTCGTCGATCGAGCCAAGAAAAACGAGGTCGAGACACTCCTGGGCCTCTTTTTGGCCTCTGGGAGCGCCATCGTGGCGGCGGCTGGATCCACCTCGAAAATCTGGTATGAATGCACCCCAGGAGAGCTCTGGGGGTCATCGTCGTCGTCTTCGCCGTCGTCGTCGTCGTCGTGAGAACCGCACGCGGTGATGGGGATACCGATGAGAACCGCACGTGGTGATGGGACAATAAAACGAAACAAACATGGACGAAGCAAAACAACATCAATAGTCTGCGAATGACGGATACACTGAATTGCAAACCGCCCGTAACAAATGTGTCCAGGGGTGCGACAAGTAAAAACAATGATGGTTTAAAGCTAATTTTGATATGGCATAGGAGTACGACCTGGAGCATGGAGACGAAAACAAGAAGGAAGATAACTACAAAGAGGGGGAGACCGAGGAGAAACCAGAACAGGGCGAGCACGAACACATATGAAGACTATCACCACTTACGAAGGACAGGCAGACGAGCCGTGACAAAATTGGTCCACGTGGTTTGCACAAAGCGACTGCTGGTGCGCGTGGCGTTGGGGCCCCGGCTGCTGCAAACGAGCGGCAGTGGCGAGCCATCCGCCAGTGCCTCAAGCGAGCGCTCCTCGAGCGAGCGGCTGCGGTGGGGCATCCGCTCGCGTGGTATCGCGCAGCACTTATTCAGCCGCGAGGGCAGGCGTCCACTCCCTGCTGTGTAAAAAACGATCGGGCCGCAGGAGCGATCTGTGGCCAGGGCCTGGCCCCCGGGGTCCGCAGGAGGCAATACACGGTGAGGGCAGGCAGCAGCCAGAAGCCAGTCCATGCGGGGGGTCCGCGCGATGAAAAGACGACGTAGCCGATGCGGACAGTCCCGCCAGCACGGGCTCCAGCAGGGTGGCGTTGAGGGTCTATGTCGGGCCTCCCTGGGGGCAGCGCTCCCCGTTGCCACTTGCGCCACCTGCTGAGCCCGAGGAGCTGAGACAGCCCGAGGATATCACGATCGCCTCGCAGGGACTGCAGCCGCAGCAGCTCGCGAGGCAGAGAGAGAGAAAGAGAGAGAGAGAGAGAATCAGAGAGAGAGAGAGATATATATAGAGAGAGAGAGAGAGAGAGAGAGAGAGAGAGAGAGAGAGAGAGAGAGAGCAATGAGGCGCAGCGCGAACGGGAGAGCCGAGTCGCCGACTCCGCAGCAGACCAGGACGATGCTCTGCGGGAGAAATCCTCGACCGCAACAAGCGGATGCTCACCGTGCCGCGACGAATCCCCGCCCCACAAAATCAAAATCCCACCACCCCATCCCCGAACCGATCGATAGTAATGACAAAACGTCAGCTATCGCTCCATGGCGAGCCCTGCTGCACCTCTGATGCCGCGCGCGCGTGCCAAGGACATCGGCGTGCGCTGTGCAAAGTCCTTCGCTTTGTGGTACATATGATAAGCGAGCGCGACGGCTCGCAGGCATTCTGTGCGCGTGAACTCTGAACCTTCGCATTCGTAGTCCGCATCCCATCCCAGGCCTAGCAGCGTGAGATGAGCGCCTGGGGGATGGCGCCTTCTCCACGGCTGATGCATGGCGAGATGATGAAACATGCGCGGGCATCGTAAATCGCGTGCAGTCTCATCGGGCTGCTGGCAGCCCCAAATGCACGTGGATGGCGGGCTGCCAATCTGCAGCCTATGCGTCGTCGTTCACGCCCCGCAGAGAGTTTTGAACATGCCCCACTGCCAGGCGGGCTTGCGAGTAGCGAGGCAGGTCTTGCAGTGCCCCCACCGTCCGCCACCGACCTCCGCCCCCCAGGAATAGTGACCTGCCGCGCTAGAAGACGCTTGCCGAGAGCGAGAGGGAAGGTGTCAGGGAATGCGCGCACTCGAAGGGAACGGGCAAAAATGCGCTGCGGGTGCGGGCGGCGTGACCCGTTCATTGCGAGTGCGGCATGCTCGCGCGCAGCCCGAAACGCCTGTGGCCATCCTCCGGCGTCGTGGGGGCGGGGCCGGGGAAGCCCCGCGCGCCCTAGGAAATGTGCAATCGAGAATGGGCACTTCCAGCAGGGGGCAGAGCATTTGCTGCAATGAAGCGAAAAATCGTGGAATTGTCATGCGCAGATTCTTCGGAGCGCGCAGTGCACGTTGCCGAGCGCGGTTCATTGTGCGAAAAGAAGCGCGCCAGCTGCTGGCCCGCCCTAGCAGCGCTACAAATGGGCATTCAGATCAGCGAGGCTGAAGCTGTCCGGCCAGGGCCTCAGCAGCTCGCGAAGCGCCTGGCGCTCAGGCTTGCGAGCCATGAGCAGTTGAGCAAGATAGGAGAAAGTAGAGAGAGCGGTGGTGTTGTGCAGACTAGAAAGCACACTCGGTGCAGCCCCTGAGAATGGGGGCGCAATAGCCCTCGACCCCGACTTTTCCGCAGCAGTGGCCCAGATAATCCCCGGTCCCCATGCGCCTAGGTATGTGGTGGGGCCCGCTATCTTAAGGCTGCTGCAGTGTGGGATCCAACGGCGGGGTTCATGTCGGATCTTGGCCTGGACTTCGGCCGTGCATTCGGTCTGCAGTGGGGCCAGAACGCATTTCGCCTCGTCTGGGGTGGCGATGGGGATGCTGCGAATGATCTCGCTCACCTTGCCTGTGCGCTTCCTAGACTGACTGGAGTCTCTCTCTGCGCGCCTCCGAGACTGACTGGGTACTCTTTTCGGGGGAAGTCGTGCTGCCCACTTGGTTCCGCGCGCGCGCTGCCGCGCTGCGTCGCGCGGCGCTAGGTGTACTTCAGGAGCAACCGAACTGGAGTTAGAGCCTGGATATGCGTCAAACTACCAGGTTGTCGTATTCTCAACTTCCAAGACATCAGAATATCAACGAAGATCAGGATGAGGAAGCACAAGGAGCTAACCTTGAACATCAACGTAAGATCAAGATCAGGTGTCAAAAAATTCATTCGCACACAACTCGCAGCGATATTTTTTGCTCAAGCCGCAAGCCCACCTCCAACACAAGTCTTCTTATGAATACGCATTCCAAGTCCAGTAGATGCACGGGGCAAGCCCATGCGGACTTGCGTCGCCATAAGCTCCGACCTTCGTTCGGCAACTCGATGCTCGGACAAGGTAATCCACCCCGAGCTCGAGGTCGCTCTCGGCTGACTGGTCCACCAAGCCTCCGTCGCACCAAAGAAGGTGGTGAGCTGTCTTCTCGAGTCCGCAAAAGCAGCGCACTCCGCCACGCAGCGGCGGACTGACGGCCAACGAAGGCCTCCACAACGCGGACAATGCGGGTCACAATCGAAGTCGCGCGCACCACCGCGCGCGCGGGAGCTGGCCGCCCCGCGCATGTATGCGATAACTTTCTGCCACTCCGCTGGGGACCGACCATCTCGAAATCTCTTTCACGCTTTGCCCGAGAGGGCTTCGTCATCAACGTCGCTCATGCCTGGGAAATCTCTGCGGCTCGGGGTCGTCGCCGCCAGGGCGCGCAAACGACAGACAGCTCGCAGAACATGAAATACTCGTTCACCTTCCGAACTCCGGTAGCCTTGACGGCCCTGAAAGATGCGCTTCGTACGCGGGTCCGACTCCTCAGGATCCAACTGGAATGCGATGCCTCTCTCCGCTTCGTACTGCATAAAAACCAAACCAATCGCCTCGAAGGAGGTCTGCAGGTTATGCTCGATCCCGGGGTTGTAGTCCAACTCCCAGTCCGTCAGTCGGCGCACGGCCGTAAGTACATTCGAATACACAGGGTGGTACTGAATATGCAAGGACCAAAAGCGTCCACGGCACCACCAAAGACACTTTGTCCGAATAGTAGAACTCGTAAGCTTCGCAGCCACATCCACAAGTGGTTTCGTAAAAACTGGGCAACACCAAAGCCATCGAGGTACAACATATGCACCGGCAGCTCGGAGTCGAGTACGTGAACTTCCAGGTAGTTGTCGTAGAGTAGCGATGGCTGCGTACACCTTCTTCCATCCTCCCGCCGGTGTAACAGGAGCTGTGGGGTCATCGGGGACGGCCTCGACCCCGATGTGCTCGGTGCGGCAGAACTCACCGCGATGCCACTCCTGGCGCTTGCTGCGGTTCTCCACGGCTCCCGTCTCGGCGTCGAAGCGGCCGGCCGTGGTGATGTCGTCGATCAGCTGCTGGTCGCTCTTGCACACCAGGGAGCGGTCGTCCATGAACAGGAACTGCTCGCCCTCCACCTCCCAAGGCGCGAGCACCGAGCAGAGCACCTTGGGCGCACAGGGGTCTCCCTGGGCCAAACTTCGAGATGGCCAGACCACTTCATCAAATAGTGCTCCAGCTACTTGACAACGTCGTGGTCCAGTCCACGCGGCAAAGGATACCGCCACCAAGTCCGACGGAACTGCAGCGGCATAAGAGAGGCTATCCCCACCTCATGGGGGCCCTGGTCGTATCACTTGCTGAGGTATCGCTCCATGCCCGCCTGCGCGGACACACGCGCTCGCAACCAACTGCGTGCAGCATGACACACCGACGTCTCCGCCTTACAGACAAACTGTGCTGCCTGTGGTGCTGGGAACGCTTCTTCACACGCTGTGAGCCAACTTCTCAAGAGTACAGTAGCCACACCAATCGGGCGTGAGGCACCGCACTTCTTTGGGATACCAACCGCTCTCCAAGAAAACAGAAGGGTTCTGCAAGTTCACGATGTCGCCGGGCCGCTCCGATACCACCACGGTCTCAGACATACCGTTGGCTCTCAAGTACTTCGTCGTATCCAACCACAGATCGTACAGGTCCTGGATCACGAACACGAACGTCGATGACATCAGCTTCAGCTCGCGGGCCGTCCAGCCGTCGTAGCCAGCACTGCCCTTTCCACGGGCGATGGCCCGCAATAGTTGCTTCCAACTCGGCATCCACCCACCACAGGCTTTGCTCGGAGGAAGGGGTCGACGCATACGCTGAGCATGATATAGCCACGATGCTGCACTGCCATACTGTGTCCTTGTTGATACGATTGCATTGCCTGCAAGTCCACATAGCGAACTGTCTTGGGCTAGCGTGACGAGAATCCAACAGTGCTTTCGAGTGCAACGCACGAAGCAAAGGACGAGAGAGGGTCCTTCTAGCCCTCTGTGTGCGGTGCCAGGCTGGTTCTGGCACTCTCTCCGTGATGGAACAGGATATGTGGAAAACGAATGTGGCGGCTATCCACCCGAGGACAGCAGCGCAAAGGGTTGGCACGGTAACGGCTGTGTGACCACCTGAGGTCGTGGACCGCCTTCGGTCAAAACCCTTCCTCCTCCTCCCCCTCCTCCTCCTCCTCCTCCTCGCACGTAGCTCGGAATGAGTTCGTGGTCGATTAGCTCGCTCGATCGTCATGTTGCTGTAGCAGCTGCGCTCTGGCAGCACGGGCATGCTGTGCTATCAACGTCGGGTCAACATTGGCCTGGCTGGTTCCGAATTGAGTGATATAAGTAGAAACTCAAAACCAGGCGTTGCACAGCCAGCAGGCGCTCCTCACCGCTCATGGCCCTCCTCCTCCTCTTCCTCCTCCTCTTCCTCCTCCTCCTCGGACTTCGTCGTCGACGTCGTCCGTCCCTCCGCCTCCGCCCCCCCCAGCCTTGCCTTGACCGACGAGCAACGCTCCCGGATCGAGGCCAACAGGCGCGAGGCTCGCGCCAGGCGGGAGCGCCGCAGGCTTCTGGAGCATGCAGCTCGCACGCCCTGCCCTGGGCTGCGGCTGGTCTGCAGGGCACCTTTTTCGAAGAGGCCCCCGTCGGGGGGTGGGGCCCCGATGCCTCGATCTTTCTCGTTTCGGAGGCTAGGCCGGGCGGTAGCGTAGGTGGTGGATCCCCGTGAGGTCCATTGCGCCACCCGCCTAGCCCTGCTAGCAGAAAGGAGCGCGCCGAACGCCATGCCCCTCGTCGCGCACACACACACACACACACACACACACACACACACACACACACACACACACACACACACACACACACACACACACACACACACACACACACACACCTCCTCCCGCCCCTGATTCCCCTGACCTCCTCCTCCAGCTTTTCCCCTCCCCTCCTGCATCCTCCGTCCACTCCCCCAAGTGTTCCCCCCTCCCCTCCCTCTGGCCCCCTCCCCCTTCCTGCTCGGAAGCGCACACGACCTCCTCGGCGACGTTGTGCAGCACGTAGGGTGAGGCAACCCTGGGCGCGTCCCGCCGATAAGCGAGGACCGACCGGATGGCGCAATCTATGAGAGGCAGGCTCACTGAGGAAATCGCGATTTGGTTCAGCAGCGGGGCGTCTGGCGCAACCAATGGCGCAACCTATGGAAGGTAGACGCTCCCGTGGAAGCACGTTTTTTTTTGTGTGTGTGTGTGTGTCTGTGTGTGTGTGTGGAGTGGCTGGGTGCCTGGCGCAACCTGCATGGCAAATGCTGTGTAGGGCTTCTTGGCAGGGTGTTTTGTCCGCAACGCCATGATTAAAGGAACAGGGAAACACGCCATGCATATAGACGTTCGGAGGTCCGCGCGGATTTTTTGGATCGGCGCTGGACCCCCCTCCCCCGGTGCGCGGAGCTCGCGCGGACCTTCGAAAGTTTATACTTAACACCGTTTTGCATTTCTCGAATGTGGCGCTTTCCCGCGCCCTCCCGCGCGAAAGCGGCGCTCTATATGCGGCCGCCTCACCTTGCCGCTGTCCAGGGCGCCAGCTGTCAAAAAACTTCCGAGGTCTGCGCGCATCTAATGTTTTACCACAGCGCTGTTCTTCAATGAGAATCGGGGGCTGAGGCTTTTGAGCGTCTTGGATTCTTTGTAGGCCTCCGATGGCCTCAACAGATCTGCATTACGGCTCGTTTACGTCGTGTCGACGTGGACGCTGGCTTCCACCGCGTAGACCTTTCGATCTTGAGTGATCTCCACTATCCGATGAGATAACCGCTCAAGGTTGGTCTCGCTTACGCCGCCGTTAGCATTCAACCTCCTGCAGCGCACGCGCCAGCGTCGTCGCCGCCGCGTCGACGCGGCGATGACACTGAGTTTCGATTGGGGATTGCTTCACGCCCCGCTCCTCCCTGCTGGCGCCCCCGCTGGCGACGACGACGACGACGACGTCGACAATGACGACGACCGCGCCCGCACCGACGACCGCGCCAACGCCGTCCACGACGACGGCGGCGGCGGCAACGTTAGGAGGACGGCAACTTTACACGGGCACCGATCCTGGCCAGGCCCACCCAGGGCCCAGGACTGGGCTGGCCAGGATCATCGCCAAGGTCTACAAGCTGCACGTGCGAAAAGAAACCTCGCCATGCGAATTCTAGTGGCGCTTTCGACTATCCCAAGGTTTCCCAGGGCTCCTGTGGTTCCCCAGAGCCCAAGGGTACACGACACTTCCCTGGAGCATCTGCTAACACTTCGTCTTTTCTGAAAACCTCTGTTTGGTTGGCTCCTCGTTTTGAACGCATCGCTGTTGGTCTCCATCGTTCCTTCCTTCGTGCTTTTTCTGCCTTCTCCCTTCCTCCCTCCCGCCTCCCTCCTCCTGCCGTGTGCGTTCTGCTCCCGCTACTGCTGCTCCCTCCTCCTCTTCCCCTATTTTCTTATTGCCTGTCTTCGCTTGACTGTTGTGAACGGCGCCGCTGTCGACACCTCTCGTGGGACTCCTGTGAGGCCCAATGGAGCGACGTCATACGCGCACCCGGACGGAACCTTGCGCTGGGCGCCGCCACATGCGCATCGGTCGCCAGTTTCGCGGGCTCTTCAGAAAGGTGCGAATTGTTAGACTCGATTTGACTTCTGGGGAGGGGGGGGGGGCTGGGAGGTGGAGGGGCCGCCGTCGCCGGGGCGTGGAGGAGGCGACGGGGGCTCGCCGGGGTCCGTCGCCAGGCTAGCAAGGCAGCCCGGGCAACGAGCTGGTGCCAAGTGGACGTCCCATAAGAGCATCATATGTGAGAACTCGAAGGGGTCGCTCGCCCACCTCGGCGGAAAGCAGCGAATCAAATTTCAGTCCGTCTGGAAAATTCTCCAGCAACCAGAGACTGGCGATTCCGTGCGGGACTGTCTCGCTACAAGTTCTCCCGCCCCATCTTCAGCCGCCAGAGAATTGGAATTTCGCTTGAGACTTCCTCAAAGCCTTGTTTCTGGACGCCCTCCATGCCGAAAGAAAGTTTCGCTGTCGCGTGAGGCTTCCTCGCGCACAGTTTTGCGGCCCCATGTCGTGCCGCCAGACAGTTGCGATCTCGCGCGAGACATCCTTCGCGTGCAAGTCGTGCGCGAGCAGACCTCGGCGACCGCCCTGGCGCGCGGGCACTCCCCGCGCGGATCCGTGATTCGGGCGGACGCGGACGCACTGTGATGACGACAGCGTCGCGAGGCGCCCGCGCGGCGCCCGCGGGCACGCGCGGGGCGCAGCCCCGTCATGCCCCTCAGTGAAACAGGGACCCCCCCCCCCCTTTCCGGGGCGGGGGGGGCGTGGATGGGCCGTGGCCCCCGTTCTAGTCGGTATCATAGTAGGAGGGCCGGCGAGTCCGCGGTCTGCGATCCCTGTCGCTTTGCAGGGTCTGGCGCCACTGGGCGCTTTATCCGGCTTGGATCCACGATGGATCCGACATTGCAATTTTCACGAAACCTTATGGTTTCATAGAGATCCTGCTTGGATCCACGATGGTTCCGAACTGGCACATTCAAACCATTTTTTTCAATTGGGATCCTGCCTGGACGCACTATGGACCCACGGTGGTTTCCACGTTGGGTTCCGAGCAATACTATTTGTTTTCATATGGATCCTGCTTGGATCCACGATGGATCCGACGTGGATTTCGCAAATGCATATGCTTTCATATGGATCCTGCTTGGATCCACGATGGTTCCTAACTTGCACACTCAACAAAACCATGTTTTCACAAAGATCCTGCCTGGATGAACTGTGGATCCACGATGGATCCGATATTGCACCTCCGCGACACCATACGTTTCCAAATGGTTACCACATTGGGATGTGAGCAAAGCCGTATATTTTCATAGGGATCCTGCTTTGATCCACGATGGGTTCTACCTTCCGCATGCAAAGAAACCGTGTGTGTGTGTGTGTGTGTGTGTGTGTGTTTTTGATCCTGCCCTGATCTACGATGGTCTCCAGGTTGGGATCTGAGCGCCTCGACATGTGTCGCCCTCCTCCTCCTCCGTAGCCACCTGGGCCCCAGTCTGCGCGCACGCCCCAGGGAGTAGCCCCTGCCTTGCGACATGGCGGTGCAGGAAGCGTTGAGAGAGTCGTGGTTTGCCGGAAAGGGGGGGGGGGGCTGTGCGGCCGAAAGCAGGCGCGGGCGTGGGCGCTCCGAGAGGTGTGGTGCGAAGAAAGGAAGAGTGCCTACGGCGCTTGGTGGCCAGCCGCTTGAGGAAGACGGGCGGGACGCCCGCTGGCGACCATCCGACGCCGCAGTCAGCGGGCCAGTTCTTCAAGAAGGTGGACGCCGACCCCGAAAAGCACCTGGGGACGCAGTTGGAGGAAGAGCACACCCGCGACTGGAAGCGCATCCTCCAGAGCCCGAAGAAAGCCGCCATAGTGGCAGCGGCGAAGCGCCTCAGAAAGCAGGGAGACGAGCCCACTTGCGCTGCCGTCGTGGCCGCTTGCCCAACGGCGGCTTTGAACCGATACGCAGGAACCCGCGGACGAGAAGGCAATCAACACTGTCGTCCAGGAAGCCTGCTGTGACGAGGGGGCCGACGAGCTATGGGATAACCGGCCGCGTCTGTCGCGGAACGCGCTGGACAATGCGTCGGGACAGCACTGGTGGGCTCTCGCGAAGCACACGTTGGCGCTGTCTCACAGGCTGCGACGGTACTGTCCCGGCGACACGTGAAAACGAAACTCAGAAAATGACGAACTTCGAACCCGATAAGTTAGTTACGAAAGCGACGAGGCCCAGACCCAGACGATTAGTTAGCGAGAAAGCGAGAACGCCGAGCGGCCGCAGGGATGATGTTAGGAATGCAGCATGGCAACCACATGCACCATGGCAGCCATGGCGGTCCGCCCGAATCAGATGCGCCGCCTCAGGGTTTGCCAGCATATGGGTTCGCCCGAGTAGAGTTCGCCGCATAAGGTTCGCCCCCATAGATTCGCCCCACGCCATGTTAATAACCAAAGGTGGCAACTCAATGTGCATGCTAATCTCTGGTCGGGGAAGGCGGGAATTTCAATTTTGGTTACACGAACACGCGTCAGTAATAGGTACTACCACCTACCGAATAATATATTTGATTATTTCTCTTGGCGGTCGCCGTCGCAAGCTCGTTCGAATCATCGGCTGTGTCCGCAAGGTCGCCCCAACTTGCGTAGCAAGCGCGACTGTGCGCGGCTGGCGAGATGAGTTCTTGGAGCCAATCTCTCGCAAGGGGCCAAGAGACCTACGCATTGCCTTGCCCTCGTCCGCGAGTTAGCTCGTTTATTCCCAAACATCCTGTGGTGTTGGGTCCTCGTTTTGAAGAGACGCTCCCCGCGCTCTCCCCTCCTCCTCTGCCCCCTCCTCCTCTCCACCGTCCGCATGCGTCCCGCACACCCAGTACAGCGTTTCGTGGCCCTCCCCCCCCTCCCCCCTGCGCTTCACCCACCCAGTACAACGCTTCGTGGCCCCATAGGGAGCCCCACCGAAGGTCCCAATGCTACCGTCCGCATGCGTCCCGCACGCCCAGTGCAGCGTTTCGTGGCCCCATAGGGAGCCCCACCGAAGGTCCCAATGCTACCGTCCGCATGCGTCCCGCACACCCAGTACAGCGTTTCGTAGCCCCATAGGGAGCTCCAGGGGGCGGCGAGGTCCCGAGGTGATCCGCGTGGGAGCCACCTCCGCTGGGCCTCCCAGGGGCCCACGAAAGTGGCGACAGTTGCGCAGATAGCAAGCCCCCCAGGGGACGGCGAGGTCCCGAGGTGATCCGCGCGGGACCCACCTCCGCTGGGCCTCCCAGGAGCCCGCGAAAGTGGCGACAGTTGCGCAGGTCGCAAGCCCTCCAGGGGGCGGCGAGGTCCCGAGGTGATGGGCGTGGGAGCCACCTCCGCTGGGCCTCCCAGGAGCCCACGAAAGTGGAGACAATTGCGCAGATCGCAAGCACCCCATGGGGGCGGCGAGGTCCCGAAGAGATCCGCGTGGGACCCACCTCCGCCGGGCCTCCCAGGAGCCCACGAAAGTGGCGACAGTTGCGCAGATAGACGGCACGAGAGAAGAGGAGAGGGGAACACAGGAAACAAGAGAGGAGGGAGGTGGGGGGAGGAGGAGAAGGAGGCTGGGGCGACCACACTGCTCTATTCAAAAAGAGTACCCAACCATAGGAGGGTTGGGAAAACATCACGCGCCATCGCAGCGTCATGAAGACCAGCAGCGGTGCCACATCTTTGTCTGGATTGGATAGGAGTTACCAATTCGCCTATACTGATTGCACGTTTCCTGTGCGCGCTGTAGTCGGCGCGCATATCAAGCCCGCGCCCAAAAAAAACGAGCCCGATAACCCATGTAACCCTCGAATGCGGAAGACATGTCGTGGCGGGAGTGCCGGGATTTCGCAGCGCATTTGTCGAGCTGGATGGCGCGCCAGCTCACGCCATCCATCGCTGCGAAAAGTATTGTGGGTTTACCTGTGGTGCCCAGCGGGGGAACTTTCAACCGGCTTCTCGGCTCCGCTGACATGGGCCCGCAAGGATCTCGCACAGGCAAGTCTCGTAGATTCTTCTCACCCTTGGTCGAGGATAGCTTGATCAACATCGGCGAGGCGCTCTCTGTTGTCCCTGCCGGCAGTGGGCGCCGGGCTGGACCAACTGCCCGCGCCAAGTACGGATTGCAACTGGTCGTTGCTGGCGTCGGCTCGGCACTCCGGGCTTGAACGCGGAACTTGCTGAGGCCGCGCAGCCTAGCTGACGGGCATGCTTCCAGACGACGCGCCTCAGGCGCGGGCCCCATGGGGGCCGTGGCCAGGTTCTTCATGCCCCAAGGAGTTGAGCATTCTGACGGTTCTTCACGGTTCTTGTTTTGAGGCAGCGGCTACTAGGCCACGGCCATGGCGATGCAATGCGCCGTGAGAGAGGGAAAGGATCAGGGAGGGAATGGGAGGGGAGAGAGGCAGGGAAAGAGAGAGAGAGAGAGAGAGAGAGAGAGAGAAAGAAAAAAAACAAAAAAGGGAAAGCTAAACATGCGGTGGGGAAGGGGTGATGGGCACATGCTTGCATCGCGGAGCGGCGCGCGCGCTCTCGACGCGAGCGCGCGCCCCAGGGGCAGAATGGCGATCGCGCGGACGACGACCTCGGGAGATATGTGCCGAGCGAGCAAGCGCGCGCCTGCATGCGACGCGGCATTTTTCGAATAAGCACGAATGTGCGCACCTGGATCGTGCCGCGCGCGAGCCTGCCGCGCGACTGCAATGCCAAGACGCGCGCCGCTGCTGACTGCCAGCGGCAGCTGGCGCTATTCAGACAAGCGCGACATCGAGGGAACGGTGGCGTCGGACACGCCAATCCAATCAGACGCGCACCCGGCTCGCATTGGCGGGCGCCCGAGATGTCCGGGGGGCTAAGGCTGAGGGGGCGCATTTTCCCCGCTGCGCATCGCCGAATGAAAGGTGGGTGTCTCATAACGTCAGTTTCTCAACAAAGATGACGCGTAGGTGGGCGCGGCGGCTTAGATTGCTGAACGACGCCCCCGGATCGTCGCGCAATTGCCGCGGCTGTCGGCATTCGCAAAAGCGCACATAATGCAGCGGCTTAAATCGAAAGCTGGGCGAGGGCTGCTAAAACCGTGGCTGCTAAAACGGCCCTCCCGGGAAGAAAAAACAACCTGTCGGAATTCGGTGCGGCGCGCGAGACAGTCGACGGGCTTCTTCCCGGACGGGCGAAAACAACTCCCCGGGGGTCGATTTTAGCAGCCGCGGATTTAGCAGCCCTTGCCCAGCTTCCGATTAAATTACGCTGCGAAGGGCGCAGGGACTTTACGCAGGCCAGGGGGGGAAGGAGGGTAAATCGAGCAGGGAAGAGAGAGGGCCGTGGATTCAGGGGCGCCACGGCGAATGCGCCCCAAAAAAGCCAGGGCAAGGCGGCGCGACGAACTCGGCGCGCTTGAACCAAGCTCCCGGCGTTGCTCACTGTCGGCAACCGATGCTCGGCACGCGGAGGTAGGCGGCGCGGTAAAGAGAGGGGGGGGGGCACTCATAATAGAAGGCTGCTTGCCAGGGCTCGCCCAACGCGAGCCCGGCCGAGAGCTGCCTCGCCGCCATCGCCCGGCTGTGCCAGGGGAGGCTGCTCGCCGTAGGGGTCCTCGACGACTGGGGGGGGCTCATCGTCTCCACCTCCATGCAACGGGCAGATCTCACTGCCCTCCGCGAGGGCCGGGCTTGCAACGGTCAGGCCCGCCGGGCGAGACCCGACGGCCTCTGGGCTAGCACCTCGCGCGCCTTAAGGAATTCGCGTGCGGGTTGCCGTCCAACTCCATCTCGTACACGTTGTTGCGCCTCACGAAGTTGATATCCCGCCCTGTGCTCTCGTTCCTCGCGAAGCTCCGCTCGCGGCCGAAGACGATCGCGCGCCCTGCGTCGACCATCTCCGAGACTGAGGCCAGCCCCTTTGTCACAGGGGCCACCCTCGCCTTGATGCCCTTGATCGCGCGCGCGCCGCCCGCGGCGGCGATCTCGCCCACGAGCTCGCGCGTGCCGCGGTCGGGGGCCCAGCCTCCGTCAGCCGCGCGGTGGCCCTCGCCCTTCCTGCTCATCTCGTTCATCACCAACGGGTAGTCGGCGAAGCTCCCCTTGGGCATCGCCGTCGTCGCCGCGCCAGAGTCGACGCCCATCGCGAGCTTCCGAGGGCCGCGCGCGACCGCTCCCAGCTCCAGCAGCTTGCCGAAGAGCTCCTCGCTCGCGATCCCGTTGTCGCGCAGCGGGTCGTAGGCCTCCTGCGCCGCGTTGCCCTTGTTCAAGGCGCTGAGGAAGAGCCCGCGGATGGCCTTCTCTCGCGGCCCCCATCGACAGCGGAGACCTCGCGATGCTTGCAGTCCTCGGCGATGCGGCCCGGCTGGTTGCACTTGTGGCGCTTGCGCTGCTCCGAGCCACGCCCGGCGCCGGCGCCGCCGCCTGAGCCTCCGCCGCCGCCGCGGCCTCCCTCCTCTGCCGCCCTTGCCGTCGTTGCCCTTGTCGCTGCCGCCGCCGCCGCGGCCGCCCCTGCCATTGTCGGCGAACCAGCAGTCCTTCTTGGCGCGCCCCTGGCGGCCGCAGTTGCGGCATGGGCCAACTGAATGCTGAGGCTGAGGGTAGCCGTGGCCGCGCTCCTTCTTGCCACCCTTGCCTCCCGATTTGCCCCCGAAAGCACGGGGCCCCATCGGCGTCGAGCCTTGCCCCATCGGCGTCGAGCCTTCAGGGGTCACCGCCGCCGCTGCCTGGGCTCCGCGCACGCTCGCGATCTCCTCGCGGAACTGGACCCACTGCTCGAGCCTCTCAGCGTTCAAGATCATGTGGTGCTTCAGCGGGCTCTCTGACAACCTCTGCAGCGCGATCCCGATCTTGATGGCGTTGCTCAACTGCTCGCCCGTCTGGCCCTCGTAGATCGAGATCTCGCGCTCGAAGGCCTCCATCCTCGTGAGTAGCTCCCCGCTGAAATCCCAGCTGAGCAGCTGCATCAGGAGGCCCGCGTGCCTCGTGCGAGCCTGAGGCTGGCAGCGGCGGTTCAGCTGCCGCCGCGCCTCTAGGCCCTCCAGCGCCCCTGAGTTCAGCGCCGCGTCGAGCGCCTGGGCCCTGCGCGTACCAGCCAGTAGTGTAGCTGGCGACTCATCTCCACGTCGTCGTCCTCCAGGGTCGCGTTGAGCATGGGGGCTGCTGGCCTCGACGCTCGCTGGAGCGCCTCCGCCGTGCGCGGGTTGGTCGCCCCCGCGTTCGCCCCGATGACCGCGGGCCAGTCCCTCCACTTCGCGCCGTCGAAGTGCTCTGGCTTGCCGATGGTCCTGACCTCCGCGGCCCAGCGCTCCGCCGGGCCCGCGCCCTCTCGCTGTGCGGGCGCTGCCGCCCGTGCCTCGTCTGCTGCCTGCCGTGCCTGCGCGGCCTCGCTGCGCGCCGCGATGAGCTCCTGCTGCGTCGCGTGCATCTGTGCCTGCAGATCACGGAGGGCCTGCTCTGCCACTACTGCCGTGGGCGCTCGGCGCGGCTGGGCCGCCCTCCGCGCGCCCTGAGCTCCTTCAGGTGGTGGCCGAGAGCTGCCCCGATCCTCCTCGGCCGCGCAATCCGCCTGATCCTCCGCGCGAAGCGGGCCCAAGCTGCGGTCAGCGCCTCACGGCGCAGCTCGAGCTCCCCCTGGCACGTCAGCTCTGCAGCAGCCTCAGCACGTCGGCAGCGCAGCGAGAGCCACCGCTGCGCTACCATGGATGAATCTTTTCTTGGCTAGGCCAACGCCGTTCGATGCACGTGGCCACGGAGGACTGACCTCCATATCCCATCTCAGAGAGAGAGAGAGAGAGAGAGAGAGAGAGAGAGAGAGAGAGAGAGAGAGAGAGAGAGAGAGAGAGAGAGAGGAGAGAGAGAGAGAGAAGAGAGAGAGAGGAGAGAGAGAGAGAGAGAGAGAGAGAGAGAGAGAGAGAGAGAGAGAGAGAGAGAGGAGAGAGAAGAGGAGAGAGAGAGAGAGAGAGAGAGAGAGAGAGAGAGGGACAGAGAGAGGAGAGGAGAGGGAGAAAGAGAGAGGGAGAAAGAGAGAGAGAGAGAGAGAGAGAGAGAGAGAGAGAGAGAGAACAAACAAAAAAGAGAAATACAAGAGAGGAAGAGAGATATATATATAGAGAGAGAGAGAGAGCGAGAGAGAGAGAGAGAGAGAGAAAAACGAATACACATATATATAATGAGAGAGAGAGAGAAAAAAAAAGAGAGAGGGGAAGAGAGAGAGAAGAGAGAGAAGAGAGAGAGAGAGAGAGAGAGAAAAAAAAATGGAGCGAAGAGAGAGAGAGAGAGAGAGAGAGGAGGGAGAAAGAGAGAGGGAGAAAAGAGAGAGAGAGAGAGAGAGAGAGAGAGAGGAGAGAGAGAGAGAGAGAAAAAAACAAAAAAAACACAAAACAAAAAAAAACAAAAAAAAAAGAGAAGAGAGAAAGAACAAAGAGAGGGAGAGAGAGAGAGAGAGAGAGAGGAGAGAGAGAGAGAAAAAAAAAACCGAATACACACATATATACATATATATATAGAGAGAGAGAGAGAGAAGAAAAGAAAGAGAGAGAGAGAGAGAGAAGAGAGCAAGAGAGGAGAGAGAGAGGGGGGAAAGAGAGAAGAGAGAGAGAGAGAGAGAGAGAGAGAGAACAACAGAAAGGGAGCGGGAGATATAGATAGAGAGAGGATAAAAACAAGAGAAACCAAACACAGAAAGAGGAAGGGGGAAAGAGAAAAGGAGAAGGAAAGAGAGAGAGAGAGAGAGAGAGAGAGAGAGAGAGAGAGAGAAAGAGAGAGAGCGAGAGAGAGAGAGAGAGAGAGAAGGAGAGCGAGGGAAATATGACACGATATATATATATATATATATATATATACACAGAGAGAGGGACATATATATATATACACATACATATATATATATAGATATGGATAACACAAGCAAGCACGTACAACAGGATAGAGGCGGCGGGCCCGCCCCCAATGCCCCCGCTCGCAATCCTCGGTGCACTGGTAGACCTGCTGGGAGCGCTGGCTCATGCCGATGCCGATGAGCGCGCCTGCGCGGGCGGGCAAGCGGCGCGGGCGGCCGGGGATCAGACGGACGCCCTCGAAAACGACTGAGCGAAAAACGATTCAAAA